CAGTGAGCTAGCACTATAAAAGCAGCTTAAGTCTGGGCTAGTACAAGCAGCCGCACATACACATACACACGCATGAACGTCGTCATATGAGCGAAATATTCTCAAGCACGACGTTAAACCTAATTTCACCTCACCTCACCTTCATTTCATACTTCATTAACAATTTGTCGTCGTTTACTTAACACCATGTTTTATAGTAAAAAATTGTCTCATCATATGTTGTAAACAAACATGGCTACCCAGCTAACGTCAATCAACGTCAATGACCTGGTCAAGGTTGACGGATACATTACTGGACGTGTAATGAGAATTATACAACCACTAAACTCCTTTTGCGTGTATGTCATAAACTTGTTCATGGTGAAATGGAAGTAGCAGGGTATAGACTAAAAGTTTTGCCGTAAACAATATCGCTAAAGCTCGGGACAGTGAACATTAATTTCACTCGGGACATATTTCCCATAACCACTCGTACCTCGTGGGCTATTCTCTAATTACGTAAGTGGCCCTGTGTGGATTCTGTGTGTGCATAAAGCCACCCCTAGATAAAGCAGACAGAAAAGTGGGATTGATGATCAGCTGATTTTGAGTTATCGTGCAATCGGTATTTTATCAAATTGCTGGGCCCAATAAAACTAACAAAGAAAAATCAAATATGTAATAAGCGGTTGCGTTGCTGAGTTAATTCTGTTTTCAACGCAGGGTCCAGAGTGCTGCTCACAGCTGACTATAAGCTTCCACTATGTGAAACCAGAGCTGATGAGGACACTGGACATGTTCCTCTACCAGATCACTGTGTTTGGTCGGACGGTCAAACACAAGGAACTCAGAGATCTGTTCCGAGAAGAGACGTTTCAAATCCCCCAGAAACGTCGACGTCGGGCTTACCCAGGGGAGACTATAGAGGAATACTACAAGAATGCCACGGAATGGAGACTGAAGAACACTACCATCTATATTCCAGACACAAAGAAACCAAAGAAATCAAAGATTAAGTCAAGTGTGTAGAATAGTCTCCCAGCCGATGACATTAACAATATATTTCATTGCCATGCTTTTACTGAAAAAGAGAGTTTTTTCAGCACTATTTGAACCCGTCAGTTCTACATTTTGGTATTTCAGCACACATTGATGTCTTCTTTGATTGGCATTCTAGAAGTTGAAGAGATGAAGAATGAGGACAATGTTTATGGATATACAATTTCTTTATTCTGTATATGCGACGTTTCGACATAGATTCTAATGTCGTTCCCAAACAAGTGGTACATGAGAAGTAATTTTGGGTGATATATACATTATAAGTTGTTCACTGGTCACGAGGGGGGCATGAGCCCGAAGGTCCCAACTAAATTGTCCGCTTCCTTTTAGCACTTGAAAAAAAAGTTCAGGTTATTGTTTCATGGAAATAATTTGACAGACTTTTTGCAAAATTGCTTAAACTTTAATAAATATCAATGCGATGATTCGGTGTCAAATCTCCGGTATAATTTCACTGATATTTATCTTTCGAAAGCCCGCACACACACATAATTTGAATATCTGGTCAACATACGAAATACACAATGCCATTCAGAAAGTGGTCAAATGTAACATATGTTATATTTGGGATTTCACTTCTTTATAAAGTACAGATTCTAGTATTTTGTTGGGTTGAGTCCCATCCGGGATTCGAACCCACACCCTCAGAGTCAGGCACCTAATCGCCAGCACACAAAGTCAGACGTCTAGACCGCTCAGCCATAAGTTTAATCCCAAATATAACATATGGTCAGCATACGTATATCATTGAGGTATGACATAATTGTTTTCACGTCGTAAGCTTTTATCACGGACAAATGCTTTGATTAAATGAGGTACGATCACATTGATCTATGGAAACATAAATATCACAAGTGAATATGGCATAGCTGTTTTCAGACAAATGACAAAACGTAAAATATAAAACTTGATATATGATATATGGTTTCCGTGTTACAGTGTGAGAATGCTGTGGTTATATGATATTTACAAATGTGCATGCTTTTATTGAAATATAATAATTGCATAACTGTACTCATTTCTGGTTTCTGAATGTATGCAAATGTTAGATGGTAGAAATATATTTGCAATGTATTCATTATCATGCATGTATTCAATTGACTGAATTGGTCACGTGTTATTTGGTTCATTTCCCAGTGAATGTAACAAATGTAGCCACGCGGACGACGCTAACTGTGGTGGGGTTATAACTTTAACGTTTACTGTTGACATCTTGACTTGTGAACGACAGAGGCATCCAGTGGGGTTATAACTTTAGCGTTTACTGATGACATCTTGACTTGTGAACGACAGAGGCATCTGGTGGTGTTATAACTTTAACGTTTACTGTTGATATCTTGACTTGTGAACGACAGAGGCATCCAGTGGGGTTATAACTTTAACGTTTACTGTTGATATCTTGACTTGTGAACGACAGAGGCATCCAGTGGGGTTGTAACTTTAACGTTTACTGTTGATATCTTGACTTGTGAACGACAGAGGCATCCAGTGGGGTTATAACTTTAACGTTTACTGTTGATATCTTGACTTGTGAACGACAGAGGCATCCAGTGGGGTTATAACTTTAACGTTTACTGTTGATATCTTGACTTGTGAACGACGGAGGCATCCAGTGGTGTTATAACTTTAACGTTTACTGTTGATATCTTGACTTGTGAACGACAGAGGCATCCAGTGGGGTTGTAACTTTAACGTTTACTGTTGATATCTTGACTTGTGAACGACGGAGGCATCCAGTGGTGTTATAACTTTAACGTTTACTGTTGATATCTTGACTTGTGAACGACAGAGGCATCCAGTGGGGTTATAACTTTAACGTTTACTGTTGATATCTTGACTTGTGAACGACAGAGGCATCCAGTGGGGTTATAACTTTAACGTTTACTGTTGATATCTTGACTTGTGAACGACGGAGGCATCCAGTGGTGTTATAACTTTAACGTTTACTGTTGATATCTTGACTTGTGAACGACGGAGGCATCCAGTGGTGTTATAACTTTAACGTTTACTGTTGATATCGTGACTTGTGAACGACAGAGGCATCCAGTGGGGTTATAACTTTAACGTTTACTGTTGATATCTTGACTTGTGAACGACAGAGGCATCCTGCGGGGTTATAACTTTAACGTTTACTGTTGACATCTTGACTTGTGAACGACAGAGGCATCCAGTAGGGTTATAACTTTAACGTTTACTGTTGATATCGTGACTTGTGAACGACAGAGGCATCCAGTAGGGTTATAACTTTAACGTTTACTGTTGACATCTTGACTTGTGAACGACAGAGGCATCCAGTGGGGTTATAACTTTAATACTTTTCTAGTTGGTCGTTACACTTCGAGTGACTTTATCAAAGCACATGTACAGCCACTCCGCCAAAGTCAAAGGGAATTAAAATTTTTTTCTATGTTTGAATACCACTAAAATATTAGATAAAAACATTACTGTTGAGGACATAAAATCTGCCGAACACTCATAACTGCAGTTTACACACTATAACGTTTACCATCAGGGAATCCCACTTTCCATGGAGGGAATGTGTTGTCTCTGTAAACGTATGATTGTGATATTCAGGAATAAAACCAGGAATGACACAACACACGTGCAGGACGTTGTCGCACACTTTGGTTTTGTTGCTCGCTTGGGACATAAATTTGGAGGTTAATGTATGTACTCCAGATTGATAGAGTCCGACAACTGGAATTTTATCTCGTCTCCTAGTTGTGATTGACAGGCTCCCGAGAATTTGTTTTGATCTCCTTGTTATTGATTGGCTGCTGACTTTGTGGTCGTGTCAAGTTGTGGGCATAAATATAACAATCCCGTCATTCACTGCATGCCACATTAACAATCCCGTCCTTGTTATTGATTGGCTGCTGACTTTGTGGGCGTGTCAAGTTGTGTGCATAAATGTAACAATCCCGTCATTCACTGCATGCCACATTAACAATCCCGTCCTTGTTATTGATTGACTGCTGACTTTGTGGGTGTGTCAAGTTGTGTGCATAAATATAACAATCCCGTCATTCACTGCATGTCACATTAACAACCCCGTCCTTGTTATTGATTGACTGCTGACTTTGTGGGTGTGTCAAGTTGTGTGCATAAATATAACAATCCCGTCATTCACTGCATGCCACATTAACAATCCCGTCATTCACTGCATGCCACAATGTGTATTATTTCGCCTCGAATGTTTATGGATCTCAAGATTTGTCTGTTTTCATTTATGTAACTGTTTTGATTAAACTATTGTAAATACCATACGTTTTCGCTTTAGAATTTTATTATAAAAATCGCCAGGTTATTGCAAATGCTTTAGCACCTGAAACATTACAAAGTGAAATAGTTTGAGCGGGTGGCGTAGATTATGGTTAAGCTGTTGGCTCGTTTTAACCAAGGAACCCGGGTTCGATTCCCCACAAGTGTAAAATGTGCAATGTGAAGCCCATTACTGGTGTCCCCCGCCGTGATATTGCTGGAATATTGCTAAAAGCGGTATGTCACTAAACTCGGTACTACTGACCTAAATAGTTTGCACCACTACGCCTTAGTGTTCTGTTTCTGGCCAAATTCAAGTCGTAAATCACTGCCATGGAGTCATGGTTTGGAATGCTGACATAATGTTCACAATTATCGGACACTCTTAAGATGCAGGTTAGAATTGGTCTTCATTAACCCATGCATGTCGTAAAAGGCGACAACTGGGTTTGGGTGGTCAGGCTCTCTGACTTGGTTGACACATGTCATCGTATCCCAATAGTGAGGATCGATGCTCATGCTGTTGATTACTGGATTGTCTGGCCCAGACTCGATTATTTACACACCACCGCCATAAAGCTGGAATGTTGCTGAGTGCGGCGTAAAACAACAAACAACCCGACCAACCAAGTTATAGGAACACATAGGACAGATCCACATTGCGGAATAAAAGTTACATTCAATGTTATCAAAACCAAACCTACAAATTAATTATTTATTTACAAGTTCTTCAACAATACAATGATGATGAAATATAATACAGAGAGATGTGACGCCATTATGACGCAGCAACATGATATGACGTCACCCTTGATGAAAACAATGATTGTGGACAATGAAAATGACAAGAAAGGACCCGCCTCTCAAAGCCTTGTATAACAAGACAAACATATAAATGGTAAACAGTTCTTGGTAAATGACATGTTTATGGATCTGGCCATGGGTACTACATACGGAACTTTCGATTCATCACATTCGAATCAAAATATCAAACAATATTGATTCAAAACTCTTTATGCATCATTTCTACAAATTACCCAAATGTGTCATTGATCCAAAGCTATTTTGTTCTCATATAACTAAAACCACAGAATTGCTTTTGATATTCGAAAGAAATTTCTCCCGAAAATAGAGTCGATTTTACTATCTGGACTTTGTAAATGTTCTCCATTTTTCTATTATAGAGGTATTTTAACTCTGAGTCGTACGAAGCTCTTTGGAAATCTTGGACCATTCAATGCTGTAATTATCACAATTTGTTCAGTTGCTTCAGTATTACAGATTTTATCACTCGGGTTGTCCTTCTGTAGAATCCGCTCACTTCTTCTCATGGCGATTGTTGTCGACATCCGGTGGCGGCCCTACTTTCGCTGTGGTCGACAGCGACTCCTCGTACGACGGCGGCATTGGTGCGGCTGCCTGTCCCGCTGCTGCTGCTGAAACAAACAACGCATATATACACAGGATTAGTGATCATTGATGCTGGGCTGATCCTTCCCTATACCTGACACGTTCTGGTGATGTATGACGTTCTGGTGATGTATAACGTACTGGTGATGTTTAACGTTCTGGTGATGTATAACGTTCTGGTGATGTATAACGTTCTGGTGATGTATAACGTTCTGATGATGTATAACGTGCTGGTGATGTATAACGTTCTGGTGATGTATAACGTTCTGGTGATGTCTAACGGTCTGGTGATGTATAACGTTCTGGTGATCTATAACGTGCTGGTGATGTATAACGTGCTGGTGATATATAACGTTCTGGTGATGTATAACGTTCTGGTGATGTATAACGTTCTGGTGATGTATAACGTTCTGGTGATGTATAACGTTCTGGTGATGTATAACGTTCTGATGATGTATAACGTTCTGAATACCCAGTACTATTTAGTCATGTTCCAGGGTGTTAAGGTGCGGTTGGTAGCATAGCGGTTAAAGTGTTTGCTCACCATGCGACTATTCAATTCCCCACATGGGTACAATGTATGAAGCCAATTTCTGGTGTCCATGGCCAAGATGTTGCTGGAATATTGCTAACAGCGGCGTAAAACAATACTCATGGACTCTTTTCAAGGTTTCGTGATATGTAATAATAATAATAATGGATATTTTTCGAGCGCCATTTTCCACGCACTGATACATGCTCAAGGCGTTAAGTGTGACATAATGAAAAAACAAATGAAATTGTGTTACTTCAAAGTTTATATGCTGTAAGTTTCCTTTCCCGGAACACCTGGTGTCATTGTATTTAAAAGTAATTCATAAGCAGATGTCATGATTGTCATGACGAAATAGTAGTCGAAATCGTACAATAGACTCTGTTCTTAGCAGAAATGTCTTGCAAGTGTTGATAGTGTTTTGACGCTTGTACTTTAAGAGTAAGTTAGTTTGCCTTACACACAAAGGTTGACCTACCATTAGGGGCGGCGAGGTCGGGGTAGAAGCCGTGGTTGGGATAGCCTGGTCCTTGTGGATACCCCGCAACAGGTGCACCTGCATAGCCTTGTGGTGGGTAGGATGACATGTTCTGGTAGCTGTAGGGAGGTGGCATCATACCACCAGGGGGCGCTGCTACACTTCCAGCAGGCGTCGTCATCACACTTCCGGGCGCCATGTTGCTGACAGTAACAACAGTCTGTCCTGTTGAGGTGACCGAGACGTGACCCCCGGACCATGGCAGGATCGTCTTGGCGATGAGCCGGCGTTCTGACAGATACCTGTTGTGATCTTTCACCAAACAAGGCAGACGGCAGAAATCCACCAACCACCCAACACCCACCACTCCAAACGTGAAGAAGTACAGCACGCCCCATCCGGGCCTGTTGAGGTAGAAATGATGAAATCCGAGCCATCCTAAGGGGAACCACAGTATGTAGATGTCGTCCAAGTGTTTCCATTCCTTGTCTACCTCCATGGCCTGGATGTCGTTTGTGCGTTTGACGAGGACGGGGATGCGGAACCAGTCATACACCCATCCCACCCCCAGCAGCCCAAGGGTGAAGGTGTATAGTATCCCCCATACAGGTCTGTCCAGGTAGTAGTGATGAAGCCCGACGATACCCAAGGGGGATGCACCGAGGATGTAGGCCGTGCAGGTGCTCTTGAATGGATCTGGCTCACAGGGACACTGGTTGGCTGCCTTCACGAGGGACGGCATGCGGAACAGATCTACCAGGAAGCCAATGCCACAGAGACCGAAGGTGAAGAGGTACAGAACTCCCTGCCCTGGCTTGCCCAGATAGAACAGATGGAAGCCTGAAACAGAGAGATGTTTGTGCAGGATCGATCATTCATAGTAAGTATGATTTCATTCCAAAAATACTATCTTTGAAACAGGAAGACGTAGAAATAGGAAAATAATTATAATGGTGATGAGAAGAATATGTGTACTTGTAATAAGTCAGTTTAAAAAAAAACAATGTGCTGTTGAGTTTTCAGGACATGAAAAACATGGCCATCTGGGTGCCACACGATAGTGAGGAGGAAGAAGAAGAAGGAGGAGGAGGGGGAGGGGGAGGGGGAGGAGGAAGAAAAGCATGGCCATCTGGATGTCGTGATGATGAGGAAGAAGAAGAAGAACTGTTTCTCATTGAAAGAAAGTAAAATGTATGTGTCGATGTTTGGCAGTAACAAAACCCCGTTTCTAATGCGAGTCTTAAGAACACAGGCACCATATTAGAATTCCAGTGTCACACTTGTTTAATTCAAAGAACACCCACAGGAGTAAATCTTCATTGACATTTTACGTCGCATCGGCACTATTTTAGCCATATAGCGACGAGACCATATCTGCACATAATACATGTACACTTGTTCGTTTTAAGCACCAAGTTTAAGGGGAGGGGGCTGATTTCAAAAGAGCCACTTTGTCACACATAGTTAAAATTTATGATACAAGCCAATCTCTCTCAAGAAGTTCACAACGGGAAACAACACATGTGGGAAACATGTGATTCTACAGTAGTTATTGTAGTAATTGCTACATATTGTGTGTTACCAGCTAATTGGCCATGACGAAATGAATTATTGCAAAAATACAGGGGGTATCAACATGCATGAAGAGTAACCACAACGTATGTGTAACTGTGCCCGCTTGCCTTAAGACTGAGTGAATATTGCTTTATGACGCATCGGCAATTTTGTAGCTTTCATGGCGTTCCTGCTTTAACAAGTTCCTCAGTTGATCATGGTACACGGCCGTTATTGGGCATGGTGACTCAACATGAGTGCAAGTTATTGGGCGTGGTGACTCAACATGAGTGCAAGTTATTGGGCGTGGTGACTCAACATGAGTGCAAGTTATTGGGCGTGGTGACTCAACATGAGTGCAAGTTATTGGGCGTGGTGACTCAACATGAGTGCAAGTTATTGGGCGTGGTGACTCAACATGAGTGCAAGTTATTGGGCGAGGTGACTCAACACGAGTGTAAGAACATGGGAGTTATCTTGTTATTTTTCATCTTCTAGTGTTCCACTTGTGTCTTTGGCATGTACAGGAGCATGGTATCTAAAGAAAAGAAGTTCCTCATCAGACCATGGTACACAGCCATTATTTGGCATGATGGTGGAACACGAGTGTAAGAACATGGGAGTTATCTTGTTACCATCCACTCTAAAGTTACATGGGTGTCTATGACATGCACAGGAGCTTGGTATCTGGTCTCGGGGTAGTGGTTGAGTGAGTTATTATGTAAACGTTCCAACAACTTGCAGAAGCATACCAAACATTCCAGCCATGACACATCTATACCACATGATTGTTCTCAACTTGAAGATGTATTAGCATTTGTTTCTGTGTCTCCTATCTGTGCCACGGTGACGTAAATGTGTTATCTCGAAAAGTCCACTTACTGAAAACTGGGTTACATGAGTCAACACTTAGCGCGGATCACCAGATAACAAAGTTGATGACTACTACGTGACGTTGCCAAGCGCATCCGAAACACGCTGTACTGGTATTCATCATACGGCAACAGTTATCTGCTGAATCATAGTTGGGTCGTTGTAGGTTATTTACAACATGTGTTTGATGTCATAGATATATATATAGATGTGGCAGTGTTGCATATGTATATATCTGTATTTTACATATTTGTATATATTCACTGTTGTAATGAAATAATGTACTAATTTTTACTGTGAAGTACACAATAAAATAAACTTCCTTTCTATTTAGCTCCTCGTTGACTTGTCTTTAATTCACCTTTAATATTATTTAACTGCCTTTGGGTAGCTGTGGGGTTAGATTGCATAGCTTGGGTCACTCCTTTGTTTAAGACAGCTTACACCTGATTGGCCTTGTTTAAAATACTAATGTTGAGCACTTCACCAGCACAGCACACAACCACTGTAGACTGGGAGTGAACAGACATTATTACAGGTAAGTTATGCATTTTGTATTTTACAATTATGTACTTGTATATAGTGCTTAATCAGTTATAGTAAAATCATGTTTTATTATTATCTATATAATCAATATAGGTATAACCAAAAAAATGTAATTGAACTAAAACAGTAAGTCTATACACAGTTTAATTCACCTGAACATCAGCTTTTCACTTTCCTATTCCTGCCCTTGAGAATAAGTGAACGAGTATACACTTTTTATCATTTATGTGTTTGTCCATAACTATGTGTGTATGATTTGAAGTGTTCACGGGTATGGTGTGGGTCATACATGATATGTTACCCAGTCTTTCCATAGTATTTATATTTGTATATTTATTTGTATTTAGATGCAGTTGCGATAATCAACTGGTGCAGTCAGTCCGCGCCCCAGTACTAACCACAGGGTACGCTTATAAATATTTTTGTGTATTTATAAAAACTAGTCTTTATGTATATCATATGTATTCATAGTCAGTGTAGTTTATCCTTGAAAGTATTTGATAAATGTATGTGTTGACTACATTATACCACGTCATCCGCTTGATTAAATGTGTGAATATATATGAATATAAATATTAATTGTGATTATGATTGTGATTGTAATGTACCCTTGTATATGCATGTGTGTATATATCTATGTACTTATTGATGTGTATATGTTTCAGGGCGTTTGTTCTGACGTATACTCCTCCAATAAATCCTTTAAACTTAAAACCCGACCTGTGTGTCATGACTGAACACCCCCGGTTACATAGACGACCCGCGAAGGTCCGGGTTAGAACTGATCTTCACGGAGACAAGGCAAGGTTTAGTATTGTATGTGTTGTTGAGCTGACTTGTTGTTTAACGCCACACTCGGCAATATTCCAGCTATATGGTGGTGGTCTGTAAATAATTCAGTCTGGAACAGACGATTCAGTGATCAATATCATGAGCATCAACGCAAAACAAAATCTTTAATGGGATCTTAAGTAATTTTCTGGATCCGCCACTGCAATGGGATCTATTTGTAAGGAGAGTCACAACTATGAATTCTTTAGTACTGTCCTTTCATACTTATTAAACTGTCAAAATGGTCAGACGATAGATACATTTACATGTTGAAATAAAATATCAGTGTAAATAAAATAATTTTCCAAACATACATCGCTACGGCTCTCATCAGCTCAACATTACGAGGAACGAAAGCTTCAGCGCTAAACTACATGAACAGGGGCGGTGGGGTAGCCCTGTGGTAAAAGCGTTCGATCGTCACGCCGAAGACCCGGGTTCTATTCCCCACATGGGTACAATGTCTGAAGTCCATTTCTAGTGTTCCCTGCCGTGATAATGCTAATACTAAAAATGGCTTAAGACCCGACTCACTCACTAACTCACTATGTGAACAATGTATCTTACCAAAAAGTCCCATAGGGAACCAGAGAATGTAGGCGTCACAGAGATTCTTCTCACGCGCCACACGGGGGTCATCGCTCCTCTTGTTGGCCTCCTTCACCAGACAGGGCAGTCGGAACAGATCCACCACATACCCCACCCCCAGCAACCCGAACGTGAAGAAGTACACTAGACCGAACCCAGTCCTTCTCAGGTAGAAGTGATGCGCTCCCAGCCAGCCGAGTACAAGCGCAAGGATGTACGCTTCAACCAGGGACTTCTTGTTATTTTGAACAACATACGGATGTGCCTGTCGTGGCGGGGCTTGACAGTTCATGTTTCCAAGATGATGTGGAAATACTCCTTTAACACAGATTTGACGATGTAAAATGTTTGTGTCGAATTTCCACTTCCACCTGCAACCGTCCCCGAGTCGGCCACGAAACTAAATGTCTCCACCTGTCGAAATCGTTATTATAGGCTCGACAAGGTTATCAACGGACTACAGTCTGACCTCCCCGTGTCGTCGCTATTCCTTTAGGGATACTCATCTTACGTTGGTCCAACTGCCACTGTGTAAACGTCTCGTGATCGGTCATGGGACTCTGCGCTTTTGTTTGCGTGCTTTGCTCGTACAGTTCGACCCAGGTAAAAGTCAGTACTGTAAGCAACGCGAGGCTATGACGCTGGGGTATATTTAGCTGTAAGGAAGAGCTTTAGGTCACACCATGTTGATAACGTTACAATATTTCCTCAAATTAGCTATCGGAATTTTATAAAGTCTGGTTTCACCAAATATTTCAGGGTTTGAGTGCTGAAGGTAGGGCTGGTTAAAATATCGATAGTCGGACAAATCGTCGATAGGGAGGATTATTAAAGATTATCGATATAAAAATAGTGTCAAGGATAATATCGTACATAACCTTTTGTGATAGACTAAAGTTTTAATATACTCCGCACACAATACACAAAGTTAGGTAATCGTGGTCTGCTTCTAAATAATGTACATGACGCTGTTTTGTTAGTAACCCATGCATAAACACGTCACCACTCACAAGTGGTGTGAAATATATGAATTTCTTTCACACATTTTTGGGCATGTTTGCTCAAAGTTACTTCTCTCGATGTTTATTGATAATCGATCAATATTTAGTTAACGATTATCAATCTCAATCAATAGCCGCCAATAGCCTGAGGCATCAGCCGAACCAATGTTTATATACTTCGTTGATGTTTAACACGACGCTCTGCAATTTTCGAGTTTGGTATCGGCGGTCTGGACCCAACTGAGTTTGAACCAGACAATATCGTGATTGATATCATGAGCATGAATCTAAGCAACGAGATACGATGACGTGGTGAATGGTGTTTTGTTTGTTGTTTAACGCCAGGTGTAAGATAACGGTCTGTAAATGATCGAGTATGGACCAGTGACTGACAGCAAGCGAATGAGCTCCATGTCAATGACCTCCCTTAAACCTAATAAAAACATATTTTACAGGACGCTGTTTGGAATAAAAGCGGTGATCCTGTGATCCTGCTGGATGTCCACTACTGTGATATGTGGCGGGAGGTATTATCATATCAATGATGGTCTCACATAGATTCAGTTAGTCATACGTGTATCGACATTGTTTATCAGGATTCGAGAGACATGTATGTAGTGCACAGCTTCTTCGTCCTCAGGCAGAACGGCAGGTAGACTAGTGGTTAAAGCGCAAAGGCTAGGGTTCTGTTTGCCCACATGGGTGAAATGTGAGAAGTCCATATGTAAAACTATATTCTCGTATACATACACATAAAATATAAAGAAATTGTGACAGATGTGGATGCCACTATACAAAGGTGCCACTATACAAATGTACCACTATACAAAGGTGTTATTATACAAAGGTGTCACTATACAAGGTGCCACTATACAAAGGTCACTGTACAAAGGTGCCACTATACAAAGGTGTCACTGTACAGATGTACCACTATACACAAGTGTCAGTATACAAAGGTGCTACTATACAAAGGTGTCACTATACAAAAGTGTCACTATACAAATGTACCACTATACAAAAGTGTCAGTATACAAAGGTACTACTATACAAAGGTGTCACTATACAAAAGTGGCACTATACAAATGTACCACTATACAAAAGAGTCAGTATACAAAGGTGCTTCTATACAAAGGTGTCACTATACAAAAATGTCACTATACAAATGTACCACTATACAAAAGTGTCAGTATACAAAGGTGCTACTATACAAAGGTGTCACTATACAAAAATGTCACTATACAAAGGTACCACTTTACAAAAGTGCCCGTATACAAAGGTGCTACTATACAAAGGCGTCAGTACACAAAGGTGCTACTATACAAAGGTGTCACTATTAAAAGGTACCACTATACAAAGGTGTCACTATACAAAAGTGCTACTATATGAGGTGTCACTTTTCAAAGGTACCACTTTACAAAGGTGTCACCCTACAAAGGTGTCACTATACAAAGGTAACACTGTAGAAAGGTGTCACGATGCAAGGGGATCGCTATGAATAGTAGTCGCTATACAAATATATCACTATACAAAGATATCACTATACGAAGGTGTCACTATACAAAGGTGTCACTATACAAAGGCATCACTATACAAAGGTGCCACTGTACAAAGGTGTCACTATACAAAGGTACCACTATACAAAGGTGTCACTGTACAAAGGTGCCACCATACAAAGGTACTACTATACAAAGGTTTCAAGATACAAAGGTGCCACTACACAAAGGTACCACTATACAAAGGTGTCACTATACAAAGGTGACACTATGTAACTTGTAAGTACAGAATTGTGTGGCAGTAGAAATTCAAAATTAGTGTAATTACAAGAGCAGCTTCTGAAATTAGGTCCGCTCAAGATGATCTGGGGTAGAGAGTGACGATGTGAGCTCAACACAACTCATGTCACGTTAAACTATGGCTGCACAAACAGATGTTGGTGACATGACCTGTGCACTGTAGAAATACTGGCAGTATGTCGACGCTCATACCTGTGAAATGTACTATCTGAAATATTCGTGTCAGTATGTAACGCTGTTTTGTAACTGATCTGTGTAATTATCTATTATCTTGTATTTTGTCTGGAGAGATCGGGTCTGAAGTGTCAGGTCTATGAATTGGTGAGATCGTGTATGGTGAATGTGTTGAACAATGTTTGGTGTTGGATGTGTAAGATGATATGAATGTGTATGGCGGATACGTTGTGAGTGGAGTATCATTTAGTAGTTTTATTTTTGGTTTATCTTTTTGCTGCAATTTAATTTATTCTACATTCCCCCTTTTCGTTCATCTCATACTGTGACACACTGCTTGTGTGTCATAAAACCTTTGAAACTGTAAAACTCTGCTTAGCGAGCCATGGTGATAACTATGTATGGAGCCGTGAAGATCCGGGTTAGAATTATCTTCAGTAATCTCGTAAAAGGCGAGAAACAGGATCGGGTGGTCAGGCGCACTGACTTGATTGACACATGTCATGGTATCCAAATTGCGTAGATCAATGCTCATGCTATTGATCACTGGATTGTCTGGTACAGACTCGATTATTTACAGACCGCCGCCATATACCTGGAATATTGCTGAGTGCGGCGTAAAACTAAACTCACTCACTCACATATGTATGGATTTGTGTTCTCAGTTATAAATTAACTTGTTTATTCCACCACATAGTTTTACCGTTCGAATGTAGAGTTAGGTTCAACACGGGAATAAACAAGCAACAATCTTTCAAGATGCCCGATAGATGCCTGTTGGCGTATAGTACAAGGGTCAGGTCATTTTTTCATGTCATGTTGTAATGTTTATTTCATGTATATTTCAGTTAGTTTGTTTATCGATATTGAGTACAGAGCAGTTATGTGCAACCAGAATCTTCCTCAGTGTGTTGGAGAAAGTGTCATATGCATGTTTTTCACGCACGCACGCACGCACGCACGTAGTTTTCACTCAGGGTTCCAGTCTAGTCCAATTTGGGAAGCTTGGCCACTGTTACAGCTATGGGAATATTATCAATGCTGTGTGTATTTCAATAATAATTGTTTTGGTTTTTACATTCTCTATAGCCATTGAGTTTACACTGACGCTTTATTTAGTACTGCCATTCTAATTAATTTCTGTCGTAATTGCCCTTGGGCAACACGATGAGTGAGTATGATTTTACGCCGCTTTTAGCAATATTCCAGCAACATCACGGCAGGTGACAACAGAAAATGGGCTTAACATATTGTGTTCATGTGGGGAGTCGAACCCGGGCCTTTGGCGTGACGAGCGAACGCTTTAGCCACTAGGCTACCCCACCGCACAAGGGACAACAGAAAGTACAAGAACACACGCTACATATAATACTCTCATATTTAATTATACAGATTGTAGCATGAATATAAATGTCAGATATTTCTTGGCTATGAAAGGATCATATGAGAAGTCTTCATGTCATGGATCAGAAGAAACTGACAGCTGTTTCAGACCATCCTGTCCCATAAGCAGATACAGATTGTCTTAACTTGCCAAACATCTCATCGTCGCCTGAAAACCAGAGTGTTCCAAGTCCACTTTTTAAAAAAAATGAGTTATGACTATTATACTAAAGCTGAGGTATTATTCTATCTTCTGATAAAGTTTCAGATGAAAATATGCACTAGAAATGTCATTTTTAGATTTTAAAATTGTTTTATCTCCACAAAATCAGGGGTTTTGTACGGACCATACTGTTCTAAGTGATGGACCAATCACTGATGAGTTTTGAATCACATGACCTGGAGATAGAACAATCTGGTATTGACAATAAGGATTAAGTCATGTGGACATGGTGAGTACACTTTTATTGATTTTTGCACAAAAATGACACAATGCAAACTTAGAATTAAAACCAAGTGATTATTTAATAATTCAAGACAACACATAAATCAATTTGTCGTGTTTTTAAAGTTCTGTTGATGAAAATTTCTGCTTAAAATGAATGTTGGAGATAGAACACTTTGGATCTGAGACAGTCGTGAATGTGTTATAAAGGATATGGAACAATTAGCGTTCTAGTTCAATTTCATTAACTTTGATATAAATTTTGAATTTTGATCACCTTCTTTTCAGAATCAAGCGGCTCCTCTACTGTTTCTCCCAGATGAAATCCTTCTCCTCATCCTGTCACTTGTACCAGTTACTGATCTGGCATGTAATGTTAGCAAAACCTGCAAGCATCTAAGGAAACTTTTAAAGGAAAATAAGACCCTATGGAAGGACATTTCATTTCCTTGTGACACACATCTAACTTTTGGGCAAGTTCACAAAATCTTGAGCACATCATATTATTTTGAGAGCCTTGATGTTGGTGATGTGACTGTTCATGGTTGCCCTTTCTACGATAGATTACACATTAACCGTAGGACTATTAAGAGCTGAAAGACTCTTATGGCTTAACTTGAGAGGTTTGCAGATATCAAGTCTGTCATTTCTTG